ATAATTTCCAGTCTTAAATCCGTCTGGCCGTGTAGCTCAGTAGGTAGAGCGTCGATCTAGTAATTCGAAGGTCGCGGGTTCGAGACCCAGCCGCGGCAGACAACATCTTTCTGCTTGCGCTGGGTATGGAAATTATATAATACACACTCTAGAACATTTTCATATATATATATATATATATATATATATATATATATATATATATATATATATATATATATATATATATATATATATATATATATATATATATATATGATAGGAAGTAAAATAAATACATATTTTATGTCTCTCAGGTAATATATAAAGGATGGAGTTCTCCGAGAGCAATATCACATACGTACCCTTTTCTAGATATATGCAAAATTAAAAACAAAAATTAACATACGATAGCATTCCTCCACTCGTGAGCTCAATTACCGAAGCAAATGTCCAGGCCTTGTGACCCTGGATGGGCACTTAAAGGAAGGAATACACACACACATTCGTACGCTTATTTAAGGTGACGCCACATGAAATGTTACCTGTTATGTTTCAATTATCCAACAATATGTCTCAACGCAACTCATCTCCTTGTCGCCATATTGTTCAAACAATATCAGGAAATACGTAAATGAATAAGTCAAATACTTTTGACTGAATGCTGAAAGCTACAGCAATGACCTAGAAACTACTAGCATTATCTTATAAGGTGATAGGAATAAGGTGATATGTATTTATTTTACTTCCTATCATATATATATATATATATATATATATATATATATATATATATATATATATATATATATATATATATATATATATATATATATATATATATATATATATATATATATATATATATATATATATATAATATATAATTATTGTGTAATTAAACATAACTTAAACCGTTCATTTTTGATGGGCAAAAATATGTAACAGATTAAATTATTCACACTATTACCTAAATAATTTTTTCCATAATCACGATTTTCGTTGTTGTCTGGTGCGAATATCAAATTCAATTCAAGATGGCGGATTTGTGATAAGTATTGGTATTAAATATTTTGGTTGTCCGAATCCTAGATGACTAGACAAAGTGATTTAGGACGAAAACACACACACACGCACACACACACACACACACATATATATATTATATATATATATATATATATATATATATATATATATATATATATATATATATATATATATATATATATATATATATATATATATATAGATAGATATATGTGTGTGTGTGTGTCATCATGTTCTATTGATATCAGTTAATACAAGTTGACGCTGTCAAATTCTTAAAATTGCGACACTGCGATGAAGCAGCTCAACAAAGATTTATTTACAATAGTTCATTTGTTTCCAAAAAGGTATCCCTAGCCAGAAACGAACACTGATCTCGATTGTCGTTCCAACTGCATTGATGTCCATGTTAGCTGTGGTTGTGGCATGTTTTGTGTTGTACAGAAGAAAGAAAATTTACGGCGGATTTTATCTGTTTTCATATCCCCCCTTACTTGACTACATGGAGACAATAGATAGAAATGGAAATATTCAAGAACAGCTTCGGAGACTGCCGTTTATACCAGAATGGGAATTTCCAAGGGAAAGAATTAGCTTTGGTAGGTAATTTACATTTTTGCATAGCCATCCACGTGGAAGCAATATGTAATTCGGAATAAAATATATTCAAAATCATGCAATCTTTCTGATTATGGAGTAGAATATCGCCTTGTACTTTCACATAACCAATCCGACCTCGACTTCACGAATTGAGATAACCTGTAGCAAGTACCATAAGCAGCGTTTGCCATTCCATTGGCATTGATCAATAAAACAATAAGGATTCGGTGACTTAAACACCGAATTATTTCAACTGATGCACTAATAATTTAATTTAGTTTTTCTTCGTGTAAGAACTGAAGAAATTCCAATGAAAACTTGAATAAAGTCAGTGTGTTTTCTCTATCACAAAGTGTTACCGCGGTTTTCCCCGAATCTTTGTCTCAGCGAATAGATTGTAATTTACCCCAAACAAAATAATTTTCAAAATTGGTTTCAAAATAATTTAAAATATTTTCAGCCAGTAAACTTAGCTCTGGACAATTTGGAATTGTTTGGTTAGCAGAAGCAATTGGTATATCTGCATTTCATCCAAGAGACATGTTGAGAGAAAGAGAGGGCGGACGAAGGTTTTCCTTCTTCAATCGCACAACGAAAAGAAACAGCTATGTCTTTTGTAAAGAAGTAACCCAAGTTGCAGTTAAAGTGATTAAAGGTTTGATTTCAAAAAATGATATAACGTGGAGTGCATGTAAGTTGGCGCGTCCATATGAGTTCATGCAGCTTCCGTATATTAATGCATGCCTTTGTCTGAATATAATTTTTTTCGTCTCGTATATATAATGTTGAATAAGATGAGGTCAAATCCTGCAGGTTTTTATTGGGGGTAATTTCGCTCTTTACTTCTTTACTAATACCGAACCAGAAAGAAGAAAAATTAATGCCGACTTGTTAACTATACCATTGATAATAATATGTATAACGTGTATAATGTATGGGCCTATAACGCAAACATGCACTGTCTTGATTTTTCAGTATTTTATTGCTTTGAATATTTGGTTTTTTGGCAAAAATATTTTATTGCTTTCAGTATTTTGATTCTTGGCAAAAATATTTATATAAACTTTTAAACCCAATATTTATTAAAAGGCAAGAAAATTTAGACCAAAAACGAAGAATAAAAGCAGCGAACAAGAGACGTCCGGATCGGATAATAACACTAAGAAATTAATTCGCAGCTCCACAAAAATATGATGAAAAAGCTACAAAAACTAAACAATTTTCATTAAGAGAGTTGCATTATATGGTTCAAATAGAAACTGGTCGACAAAAGCGTAACACGAAAAATATTATTATAATAATTTCAGTAAATTAAAACAGAACCACTCAAAGGAAGCGTTGGACTCAAAGAGCATGTAAAATAAATATATATTACGAACGAATTTATTATTCGAGCGAATATTAACATGGCTACATTTTTGGATCTGGCCAGAAGTGTGGCGGCGAACCGAGCGCTAAAATTAATTATGGGCAGTTCACAAGAAGAACAGACGGTGGCAGCAATGACATGCACAGTCCGTATGATGAAACCTAAGTATTTACATCTGATTATTCTTTAAATCATTTCTACGTGTTGCAGAAAATTTTGATCGAAACGACCAGGCTGACTTGAAGACCGAACTAAAGATTTTAACTCATGTTGGTGAAAATGAAAATATTGTAAATATACTAGGTGCATGTACAAAAGGTTAGTAACCCCACTTCTGTTTTTAAATTTTTATATTATTATATACCTATACACAGGAACTAACTTTTGATTTCTTCGACACTGCATGAATTTTGTTTTAAAATTAAACTTTAAAGTGCAAAAAGTTGTTTTCTCCAAGCACGTTAAGAATGCTTTTCCGAACAAAATGGAAATTTGAAGAGTTTAATTAATTCATAGAGGTCAAGTTTAAAGTTATTTTAAAGTGCGCTTTATGAGCTACCAAAGAACAAAACAATTTTAATATTTAATTTGATGTACATCGAGTCCTTCCTAGACTGCCCCAGTCATTGAAATTCGGTGTTTTACATTCTATTCTTGATTGTTTTGATGTTTTCATTATTGGCCGTTTTATAATGGTTCATGAAAAACATTTTAAACTTCATCTTCATAAATTCAAATCATCACAAATTATTTGATTTTGTTTGCAACCTTTGTTTGCAACCTTCCCAAAACAGTTATTTTCTAATCGAAGGTTTATGAAATTTAAGAACATATATTGTTGAAAATTGTCTACAATCCCCATAGTGATTACGAAACTAATTTTCCATAGGCAACAGTTCAAACATTTGGATAATAATAGAATATTGTCCACATGGAAATCTTCGAGAATTCTTACGAAACAATCGGAGTCGGTACAACGCGGAGAAAGAATCTTTCAATCAAGATCTTTCCCAAGTGTTTGGTCCAAGAAATTTGATATATTTTGCTTGGCAAATTACAAAAGGGATGGAATTTTTGACCTCAAGAAAGGTAAAGTTTCCCATTTTAGATCAGACTGTCCAGATCCTGTCAGTACACTCTATATGTATCAGCTTTTGCCAATGTCTCTACCGTAAGCGTAGATTGAGAAAGGAGCCCGAGAGAGTTCAGGGCCGTTTGGACAGCTTGTTAAGATAGGATACAATGCTCCTTTATTAGTGATCCCTTTGACATACACTGTTATTACTGTGAGCACAACATTTTGATGTAAGGAGAATTATGTCAATTAACACGGTACATGTGCGATATACGTATCGATCACTAGACACAAACAGTTCTAGGCAAATCAATATTTATTGTAGACTTTCCAAAGTCCTTTCCTGACTCTTCTATAGCTCGCTTCACTTCCGCTTCTGGATAAAATATTTGACAATCCACATGATTCTAAAACCTCATCTTTTTTGGTGTGTGAGATTAATCAATAGAACTCATCGTTATAGACTTCAATGATCTCATCTATTTTGACTAATAAGCTTGGCGTTCGATTTTCGCGATTGCCATTTTTTTAAATTGTTTTACCAGCTTGTGATATCGTAAATTTATTTCATTTGCATGTATGGCGAATTAATTAATATATCTAGTTATTTCAACAAAGACAAACTTGAATTGCATTTACCATTACTCTTTAATAACTAAAAGATGTTTGTCATATTGTCGTTCCAGCTAGTCTCACCTACAATTGCTGACAATGTTGTAAGTAAATAGATATTTTTCTGCAATTTTTTTGTTTATATTTTCCTGTTATTCGGGCAGATAATTTATCGAGATCTGGCTGCACGAAATATCTTACTCGGACGTGGATATGTAGCAAAAATTTCAGACTTTGGATTGGCCAGAGATGTTCATAAAAATCAACAATACTTAAGAACATCAACAGTAAGTTTGCCACCGTCAATTTTTGCTTATTTTGGACTTTTCTCAAATATTCAATTTTTTATATTTTTGTGTGTGTTGTGATGTTATGTACTCAGGTGAATATAATGTTTTTAACGTTACTCTGAGTGTATATCCACATCGGGCAAGCTGAAAAGTTAGCCTGCTAGTTTTTTGCTGGTAGTTTTTTTGCTGGTTGCGGGTAGTTTTTTGCGGGTAGTTTTTTGCGGATAGTTTTTTGCGGGTTGCGGGTAGCTTTTGCGGTTTGCGAGTAGTTTTTTGCTGGTAGTTCTTTTGCTGGTTGCGGGTAGCTTTTGCGGGTTGCGGATAGTTTTTTTGCTGGTAGCTTTTTTGCTGGTTGCGGGTAGTTTTTCTGCGGGTAATTTTTTTGCGGGTAGTTTATTCTCAACTATATTTGCTAATTCATTGATAAGTTTCCTTCATAAAAATAGATTTATTTATACAACCTTTCATTCATATTACACTTATCTTCCCTCCACAATACAAAATGCAAAATATACGTACATTTTCAGTTATGAAGCCCCGGTTACACGATACTGGATTTATAACCTGCGGCGAACAACGAGAACGAACGAATATATGCAACTATGTAAATTGATTTCATTGAAATCGCGAAAGCTGATTGGTTTACATATTTAAATATTTACGAATAAACCAAAGTCTGAACGAACGAGTGAAAGAATTACGCAGTTAGTATGAGCCGAACTATGCCTATGGGAGATACGTTACAACCAATGCGTTCAACTACTGACAAAACGGGCATGTCTTGTTACGCTTATAAAGCCTTTATCAAGTTCAAACTCAAATTTCTTGCGCGTTTTCTGTCACCGTGTACCAGGCTAACGTATATGACATTCGTAGTACTGCATATCGTCATTAAATGTCGTTGGTTGTCTGTGACTCTGGTTATGCATAAACAGCTACGAATTAAACATGCTTAAACGCTAGTTTGAACTCAGGAAAATTATTCTTAGATTGGAACGGACAAGAAAATTTTTTTTTGTCTTGTGAGCTCTGGGTTGGAACTAATGACTTAAACACAAAGAAAAATTTTCTTGTCCGTTCCAATCGACGGATAATTTTCCTGAGTGGAAACTAGCCTTAACAATGTTTCCCATTCGTATAAATTCAAATGATTCCTATGTGCCTGCCAAATATTCATACATTCAGCTGCCTTGGTCATTTTAATGTGCTAAACAACTCTTGAACATGTCATTACTTATCGTAATTTATCTTACGTATCGTAACAAACAGGAAAATATTAAAATTTGTTTTTGCCATTGCGTTTATTGTTTGAAACTCCCTTTGGAGGACTGAGAACACATAACTTACGCTGGCTGAAACAAAACACAAGATGTGGACTGTCTACAGAATGTATAAAAAAGTGTAACATTTCAAATTCATATTAAACCTTTTAAATTAACCTTGTAAATATTCATCGCCTCGGTAGTAAGCTGGCCCATTTTATTTCTTGTGCAGACTTATATCTTAATTTAAACATTTTTCCCATGTGCAGAAGACCTTGTGTTTTCGCATTCATTATGCGAAAGACGGCTGTCAAATTACAATAAAATACGGTTAATTTGAATTTGAAAGGGCGTACATTTTTTTATACACCCTGTGGACTGTATACAGGGTATATAAACAAACGCCGGAACCTGGGAATTTCTCAAGAAATCCATTTTGACTTTGCAGTTCTTAAGCATCAACAATTTTAGGCAAATCATATAATAGAACATATTACTGTTGTTGTACTGTACTTGTACAATAAAAACTTATTAACTGTCATCAAATAAATGCATAAATTTTTTGCTTTATGTGCTCGCGTGTGCAGTAATTCCCAGGCACCTAAAATCTTTTGTCCTTAAAACAATGTCGATTTCTTGGGAAATTCCGAGGTTGCGTTTTTTTATTCACCTTGTGTAATTTGTTTTCAGTGCATAGCTTGTCCATAGTAATTCTTTCAAGCCATAGTTCGTTTTGCCTCAACAAACAGAAATATTTTTGAACAACGCCCACTCAACCATTGCCTGTAAATGTACAGGCTGGGGACATCAGCTATGTGTTGCAGGCTGTTAGCGTATGTTTGTAATTAGCAACGTTAAGTTGTTGAATTGAAACTGTTAAATTTGTCATTGTAACATGTTCAAGAGATCACGTTTCGTGTAGCTATGGCCTTAAACAAAAGAGCATGTGCTTTTATCCGATTTCAACGTCTGCACTTTACACTATGGCGCACACAATATCAATATACAGATATCAAAATGTACAATCGTTCAATATCGCAATATATCTCAATAATTAACCAATACATTATCCCCATAACTAACAGTCTGTGCAATTAATGAAGGATGCTTCTAATCTGTCCATTTGGAAGCTGTAGTCCATAAGTGAATTCCAAGCTTGTCTCTGATAAATTGTCTGTGCACGTGGGTCAATCGAGCGTGTATGGCGTTTGGCACAAGACAATGAAGCTGCGGAACAAATTGTGGTTGTCTATTTTCAACGCACGCGAGTGAACTATGGGCGTCCAAAAGGGACAAAATTATGAACACACACCCAATTTTATCCAATGCTTGTAAACACTATGAAAGCTCACACATGTAATACGAAACGCTCACAAAAGACATTCGAACCACGCGCATATAAGCCGAACCTCTCACACACAAGTCGAAATGTCACACACAAATAAGTCGAACTTTCTTCGTGGGCGGTTCGCCAAATTAGCATGTTAATTTATTTAGGACGAAAAAATTTGCATATATTCCGCACTTTGTTTACGGCGGGAGAATAAATGTTGCGAGTTCCCACGTTTTAATTACAGAGCACTCTTTTGGCTCCCGTGTTTGTCTTGAATAAGGACTCTCTACATCGCATACAACAGTATGGAAGAGGATAATTTGCATGTGACGGAAGATGGAATTCAGTCGTTGGTCCGTGATAGTTGGCGAACTATTTGTCCCAGACAATAGGCCCTGGCAAAATCAGCAATTTGGTGCCCTGAAGCTTGCCGAGAACTAGAGCTGATAACGGGAAACGTTGACGCCGAGAAACAGTGTAAATGGTCCTGTTGTTACTTCCTCGACTTCGTGTAGTCTTTGCATGTCGACTTTATATTCACGCCTTGGGGGAAGCAGGCAAAAGCATCTTTCAGGAAATATTCGTTCTTTTCAGAAGAGGTTTTAGCAGTATTGGAGTGATTAACAATATTTGCACGGCGTCGAGTATTAATACAAGACCGACCACGTTGTCTCTTTGCAAGCCAAAGTTTAAATTGCTCTTCTGTGCTATTTCGTTCTACACAAAGTCAATGAAGTAATAACAGGACCATTTACACTGTTTCATGGCGTCAACGGCGATGGCGAGTTGGCATGAATGGCACTGTTGTTATCAGCTCTTGTTCTCGGCAAACAAAATCGATTGTTTATTTCATGATCATCTTCAGTGGCACCAAATTGCTGATCTTGCCTGGGCCTATTGTCTGGGACAAATAGTTCGCCAACTTATCCTCTTCCTGCATGGAAGACTCTTCCATGCTGTTGTATGCGATGTAGAGTATCCTTATTCAAGCCAAACACGTGAGCCAAAAGAGTGCTTTGTAATTCTCCCGCCGTAAACAAAGTGCAGAAATGTATGCAAACTTTTTCGCCCTAAATGAATTAACATACTAATTTGCCGAACCCCCCACGAAGAAAGTTCGACTTTTTTGTGTGTAACATTTCGACTTGTGTGTGAGAGGTTCGTATTGTGTATGTGACATCTCGACGTGTTGTGAGAGGTTCGGCTTATTTGCACGTGGTTTGAACGTCTTTTGTGAGCGTTTCATATTACATGTGTGATCGAGCTTTCATAGTGTTGACAAGCATTGGAATTAATTGTGTGTGTGTTCATAATTTTGTCCCTTTTGGACGCCCATAGTGAACAATAAAAATACACATTCCCTGGCTTCCTAACCCACTAACCGCCATGCAACCACTCCCGCGTCATGTGTGAGACGATGACAAGTTCACCAGAAGGATATGGATCATTGATTACACCAGAGGGGATTTCTCCAGCCAGAACAGCGCGAGGTTAATGGTGGACAGTAGTGCAGGAAGTATAGAGTGAATGTATTCGGCGCAGGCGGCAGATAAAGAAGTCTTGGATGCTGCGTGCATGGTACTGGTTATGTACGAAATTTGTCATTTCCTGAGAATGTTTTGATCTGTCGTGGTAATGGTTGTGTACGAATTGTTCGGGGTTGTGGTTGTCGTGGTTCGATGTGTGGTGCGTTTGGTGGAGGGACTTGTGTCGATGGACTGGTGAAGTTGATTGAACCTGTTGGGTATTTTCAGTAGGTACTCTCTGTACCGTCACAGACTGTTTGGTAACTTTGCGATTGTTGCGCTTTCCAGGTGCCTCCTCGCCTGTTCTTCCTTTTCTTTTTGGCATACCAAACCAAATAGCCTCACTATAATTGACAACGCCTGTTTTGTGCTTGGATGTAACAAGCCAGCGAAGAAAGTCCATAAGTCAGGACTTCTTTACACATGCAGCAATCACATGCATATGCGCATATAAAGGATGCTTTGGACGCGTGGCAATTATCACATGAATATTTACTATGTGGGGCCTCTTTGGATCGGATTTTGATGGCACAATTAACGTATCAATTGTACCAACACTCGGTAAAGCAACAGTTGCTCCATCATTACCCAACTTAGCAGCCTTGTCTGCTGTCAAAGCCAAGGAGTCTCGGGGTATCCAGTCAACCCTGTATCTAAGTATTATGCATGACCAGAGTCATAGACGACCAACGGCATTTAATGACGATATATATGTAGTACAACGAATGTAATAGAGGTTTAGCTTAGTACGCGTTGACAGAAAACGCGCAAAAAACTTGAGTTTGAACTTGATAAAGGCTTTATAAGCGTAATAAGACTTGCCCGTTTTGTCAGTAATTGTAACGTATTGGTTGTAACGTAACTCCCATAGGCATATTTCGGCTCATATTAACTGCGTAATTCGTTCACTCGTTCGTTCAGACTTTGGTCTATTCGTACATTTTTAAATATGTAAACCAATCTGCTTTCGCGATTTCAATGAAATTAATTTACATAGTTGCATATATTCGTTCGTTCTCGTTGTTCGGCGCAGGTTATAAACTAACAAGCAAATCCAGTATCGTGTAACTGGGGCTTCATAATTATAATGTATATTTTGGATTTTGGATTGTGCAGGAAAAATAAGTGTAATATGAATGAAAGGTTGTATAAATAAATCTATTTTTATGAGGGAAACTTATCAATGAATTAGCAAATATAGTTGTGAAAACTATATTCTATATAAAAAAACTACCCGCAAAAAAACCTTAAAAAAACGCAAAAAAACTACCCGCAACCCGCAAAAACTACACGCAACCCGCAAAAAACGACCCGCAACCCGCATATTCCACCAAACCGTTCGAGGGTGTGGTATTTTGGAACCAAGGCTAGTACCTTGGATACCAATGACCAGGGTGGTCAGGCTAACTTTCCAGCTTGCCCGGTGTGGATATACACTCAGAATAACATCAAAAACATTATATTCGCCTGAGTACATAATATCAAAACACACACAAAAATATCACGATCATAGTTCCGAAATACTACACACTCGAACAGACTTGGGCTCGTAGTTTAGTTGGCAGTGCATTGGACTAGTATCCCAAAGGTCGCGGGTTTGATTCCCACCGTGGTCAGGCTAACTTTTCAGCTAGCTTGCCCGGCGTGGACAAGTGGTTAGCGCACTTGACTTTCACCTCTGAGGCCGCAGGTTCAAGCCTCAGTGAGAACTTTCTCAATGTGACTCGAACCCAATCCTCATGTGAAAAGAGTAAAAAGTCAACTCTCTGCCGAAAGTCGTGGGTTTTCTTCCGGTACTCTGGTTTCCTCCCATTAAAGTGCCATTTGTAAGCTCACAGTCTACCTCAGTCTGCTCTAATGTAACCAGTCACTGAAAAACCCTAATAAGGGAGTGTGCTGAGTAATATATGTATATGTATATACACTCAGAGTAAGCAATCTCGAAACCAGAGCCCGCAATCCTCTGTGGAGACTTGCTGAGGCTCTGGGAAACAACAGCGAAAGTCGGCCTCTGATTGGTTGTTTTTCAAAGGCACCATATAATACGCCCTTATCTTAGTCGTGCGAAGACGAGTGGAACCAAAAACATTCGTCACCGTTTCTTTCCTCCAGGGCTCAGCTTTTCTCCTTTCCTAAACCTATCCACAGCCGTTATAAAAGATTTCTACGGAGATCTTTTTGAATTGTTCATGATTCTAAGACTTTTTGCGGGCACTACACGTTTTTGAAAAGTATGTTACCTTGGCTGGAAGGTCTCGTTTTCCATGACTCATATTTTGGTCTGTACACGAAAAAGAGTCTCGTTCGGCAAAGTGACGTACTTTTCATAAAAATGTATTCGTTAAATGTGAGCATTTTAATTTCCAGGGATTGGTTCCTTTCATGCTCAAATGGATGGCTGTTGAGTCTATTAGGGATTCATTATTTACTGAGAAGTCAGACGTGTAAGTGAAATTGTTACCAATTCAGATCGAGAAAAATTGTTGCCAATTAGGATCGAGAAATATTCACCAGAAAGATGTGCAGACAAGTGTCCCGTTCAAAGGACAATTCTCTGGCGTTGCACAACTAGTTTACTTGAAAAACGAAATTTCAAGTGTCGCGTTTTGGCGTTTGAAAAATTGGCAAGAAAAGGGCTTAGTAGGAATTTAAGGCTTCAATCCCCGTTCCAAGGCAATTGTAGTATATTCTGAATAAATATTTAATTGAAAACGTTTGTTTGTTCTCAAGTTCATCTCTAATTATATATAAATTTAAATTTAGGTGGTCATTTGGTGTTTTACTTTGGGAAATATTCTCATTGGGTGAGTATTTTTAGCCATTCTTTTATTTTAATATAAAAGGGAGCGATAAAAGATTTACACGACGTTTCGATGTCATCACAACATCATTTTTGAAGTAAATAAAAGCTAAGTAAAAATATTTCTCTTATACATAGTAAGCTAGGCTAGACATTACGTACTGTCTAGCCTAGGGCACATATAAACGACATGTTTTTACTTAGCTTCAATAATTCACTTAATGATTCAATTAAATTAATCACAAAATTAATGATGTTATGATGACATCGAAAAGTCGTGCAGATCTTTTATCGCTCATTTTTATATTAAAATGTTTGAAAAGAAGTGTTTATATCCGTTCTGTTTCGCGAAATCGTTAATGCCAACTATACACGAATTTATAGACGTACGAGATGGGGGAAAAGGGTTAAGGGGAGGGCAGTTGCCCCCTCCCACGTCCCCAGGAAAAATTCAAGTTGGACAAAGAGTATGAACATAAGTTGGGCAAAAAGATGGAGGAAAAAAATTGGAAGCAAGGAATATGAAAGCAAGAAATACCTCATGTGGAAAAGAAAGAACATTTTTGATTGGTCAGACAAAATGCAACAAAGTCGGCAAATTTCTTCTCCCCCTAATTTTTCCCTGTCGTACACCTATGCGCAAATGCATCTGACATTGTTTAGAACGAGCCAGTTTGGGTATCAATTTCATTCAGCAATTCAAGGCTAGGTACAATTTGTACATAGTCAAACTTGTATAATTTGTAAAATATATTGCTTTCAGGTGGGACTCCTTACCCAGGAATGAATGTTAATGAAGTACATCAATACTTGTTGCAAGGAAAGCGAATGGACCCACCTATTCATTGTCCTCAGGATATGTAAGTAGCAGATGAGACTAAGATCAGAACGAAATTAAATTATATACCGATTCGCAAAATAGTTGTTAATATTTTTTTCTAGAGATATTAATTCAAACAAGGTAATCACTGCTGCCTTATAGAATACTTCAAAACTAACACTTTTTGTGTTTTCATCGAGAAATTAAATGCTAGAAATTCGGACGTTTCTGCATAGTTTTTGAACATTTCAAAGAGCATGGATTATTTTAAGCTCTTAAACTTTGCCTTAAAACAGTCTCTGCTGAAATTGAAAAGTTGTTTATTAGACTGATCAATAATTTGTAAACTATACAATAGTCCAAAATTTTGGTAGCTAGTTTTCGAATTGGTCAATAAATTAGCTACTCATTAAGTGGCAAACGATTCTTTTCAATATTGGAGCAATTACATGCAGGTGTCCAAAAATAAATTATAACAACTTCAACATCACCTATAGCTAGTACTGCGATTTCCAGTTGAGCATGGAATCGCGAAAGTTTGTTCGTTAAGTTTTGTCGTTTGAAAACAATGTTTGTGACGTTATTCTATAATGTTGCTAGGCGAGCTGACAATGTTGTTAAGTAAAATACTGCCAAGTTCACGACTATAAATAGAAACTTTATGTCGTTTGTAATGATTGACAGTTTTTAACGGTTTTTACTTGACAACATTGTGTGCTCGCCTGGTAACATTATGGAATGACGTCACAAACATTGTTTTCAAACGACAAAAGTTAACGAACAAACTCTACGAACAAACTTTCGTAATTCCATACTCAAGTGGAAATCGCGGTAACATCGCAACTCAACATCGAGTTTCAGTGCCTTCACTTACAGACGATCTCTATTTATTTTTTGGTTGCTTTTGCATAAACTTGTTTTAATCATACGAACATTTCACAGCCTTACCGTACATTGCATGCAGTTTTTATTCGTCGCTGGTTCATACACATGGTAGCTCATTTTATCGTTATGAGTAACAAATGGTGTAAAATAAAATAAATGAACTTTCTAACTTCATGGTTGACACGCATGCGCATTGCACCCATTTTATTATTGACCGGTCAATAAATGTTTCATTGGGGACCGGTTGCCTCCTTGGCAAAGCACGCAGTGAACAGGATGTTTTGTGGACCGGCACGTGATACGGTTTTGACCAATCGGCAAACAGAAAAATTGAAATTTGACACTAACTATATATTAACAATATTATTTATTGCCCGACTATTCTTGATTTCTCCGGGCAAATGCCCGAATTTCCATGGTTTTCCAAAGTTACCTTCACCCCTCCTGCCTTTTCTCGCACGCTTATGAAAGTAGTACAGATATGGTTCTGGCATTAGAGAGGTTTTCCAAAATATTTATGGCCGGGTTTTACGTGTAAAAAGCTTGATGAAAGAACAATTGCACAAACGAAAGAAAGTTACAACCTAGTCGTGAAAACCTAGGCCTACCATAATTAAATTATAATAGTTACTTTTAATTCAAAGTCGGCTTTTTAATAATAAAGAGAAACTATTTTTTGATAAAAACTTTTCCATGTTTGCAAAACAACTAAAAATTACAATAAGTAAAATAATTTTGAAAATTTTAACAATCCATGCTTTGAAATTAAATGGTAATTTTTTAATATGCTGTCTAAAACGAAATAAAATTTACATATCACATTAAATTTACCTTATTGCACTTGATCCGAATAAAGATCTCGGCGCCAATACTTCTACTCAAACAGTCAAACTGTAGTTCATGCCATTCGTAAGTTCGTAACTGCTCACTGAATGGAACTCTCCGATATTTAGCGTTGATTTTCCTCCCAAGATCAGCGCAACAGTCTTGTAAGATAGCTAAATCATTCACCGCAAATGCGGATTGAACCGTTTCGTGAATACTACAAGGACTGTTGTCTGGAGCAGCAGACATTTCCGAATTTTCCGTAGATATCTTTAAATTGAATCTTTCGACAAAGCTACAACATGACACTTCGAATGAGCGCGCGCTCGGAAATACTTTACCACGCGTGAAATATTAATGATATTCCGACTAATGGAGCGCCCCTGACTTTTGTAAATCGGTCAGAACTCCCCACAGATCAGTCAAAATCGCAAAAAATCGCTTGTTTCCATGGCAATAAGCGTCTAGACCAATCAGAACACTGGATTTTGACTTTTTGACTGACCGACTTTGCGTATGTCAGCTGCTCATTGACTTGACTAAGCTCGTCGGCTCAACCAGTATGAAATTTGATCACTGGACTACAGTTCGATTGGAATGTTAATTGCTAGCGCTGCATGATAATAGATACTGGACTATTATAAGGCGTCGCTGCATGATAAAATTAATAACTGGACTATTGGTCGAATATTTAAGACTTTCATTAAGTTTGCAATTTTTACGTTAGTCGCGTGACTGGTTTGACGACCCCTAGATCCGCCCCTGGAATCAATCAATTCCTTTATCGAGAAAGACGACTTTTCATTGCAGTACATAAAAATCGACGACGCAATTGCGGCTTTAATCCGATTAGGCAGAGGCACTTATCTAGCTAAAACTGACATAAAATCTGCTTTTCGTCAATTCCCTGTTCATCCTGACGACTGGGAGTTATTAGGCATATATTGGAACAAGTCCTATTATTTTGACAAAGTGTTGCCATTTGGTCTGCGTAGTGCGCCTTATATTTTCAATCAACTTTCGGATGCACTTGAATGGATTTTACTCAACAAGTGTTTTATAAGCTATGTTGGGCACATTCTAGACGATTTTCTCATCATGGAACCACCGGCCCAAACTGGGCTACCTTCTCAAGCATGCCAAACTAGCCTTTCTAGCATGTTGTTAACATTCCGCACGTTAGGTGTTCCTATTGCCAAGCATAAAACTGAAGGACCCAGTCTCATTATAGAATTTCTAGGCATTATCATTGACTCACAAAAGATGGAGGCTCGCCTTCCATCCGATAAATTGAACCGTCTATTTGTTGATTTAAATTCGTGGCACACAAAAAAGTCAGCTACACTCCAAGAGCTCCAATCACTAATTGGCACATTAAATTTTGCATGCAAAGTAATTGCCCCGGGTCGAGCTTTTCTGCAACGTATCATAAAACTAACACGGGGTGTCTCCAAACCACATCATCACATTCGCTTGACGAATGGTTTTCGCGAAGACGTAAAAATGTGGCAACTTTTTCTTAAAGACTGGAATGGGACAAGTCTATTTCTCAACTATTTCTGGGAAAATTCTACAAACCTTTCTCTCTATACGGATGCCTAGGGGACCCTTGGTTTTGGGGGAATTTTTCGCAACCAGTGGTTTCAGGGTAAATGGTTGCCTCACCAAACACTTACCACAAAAAATATCAGCATTGATTGGCAAGAGCTCGATGCTATTGTGGTAGCCTCCTACATATGGGCACCTTTATGGGCTCAAAAACGAATTGTGTTTTACTGCGATAACCAGGCAGTGGTTTCCATAATCAATTCCAAACGTTCAAAAAGCCCTCGTATTATGGATTTAGTGCGTCCTTTAACCTTACAAACACTGAAATATAACTTTTATTTCAAAGCCTTACATGTGCCTGGTCATTATAATGACATTGCTGATTCTATCTCCCGTTTTCAGCAAACCAGATTTCGGCGGCTAGCACCGCATGCAGACCATGCATCAACCTCAACCTCTACCAGAGGAACTTTCTCGTCTCTAGACGCTGACTTACGTCTTTATCAACTTGCTTCGTTAGCTAAAGGTACGATTACTTATTAATTTTTGTTAAAAACTCACGACACAAAAAATAACAGCAGGAGACAGAGAGTAACACTGTCTCCCAGCTCTTTGACATAGGAAATCAAATGACATTTTCAAGTATTATTAGATTATATAATTTGAAGAGCTAACTGTGGAGTTACTGAGTGGAAAATTCAATCAGGTATGTTCCAAAACTGCAAAGTGCATAATGCATTTTGGACTTGTTATGTTTCATGTTATTACATTATATAAAAATGGTGGTATTCACGCCGGGTTGATAATGAAAGAACAGTGTGCTTCCAGACGTTTCCTGATTAGTGTAGAAGAGTCTCTTTCGACACATAAAAAAGTAACTCGGCAAAGTGATAAGTTTAGAGATAATTCATATAACTCATTATGAAAACACGGACTCTCTATATGTATGATAAATTAGCCATAAAATGCAGTCGTACTGAGAGACAGAAATTTCATTACGCATATGTTGAAATAACCCGCTGAGTCAAATAATTCCTCCTGTCTCGTACGCTCATTTCTACGAGTCCAAAATTATTTTAGAATTTAGGGAAGCATATGCATGAATGTGAATTCATTTGAACCTTGTCGATGCTGTTTGTGCTGGCTCTATAAGTCCTAGGCCTTTAAATCAAAGTTATCTTTATATATTAGTCAAGAAGACAAAAACAACGGTATAAAGATCACTTTATTGGTCTACGTATTGTTTTGTACCCTGCGCGGCCCACGCAGAAAAGTACACGTTTAAGTTGCTGTAGGTATGCTAATCAGTTTTAGCGGAAGACACAGAGTAAGGGAAATAAATTATGGTATACCAGTCAGCATGGCGTCAAATTCTAAACACAGGCAGAAATAAGTTTGAAGGCAAAATTATTTCGTTTTACTAATGACGAACGGTAATGAATGGTTTTAAATATAATATACTGTATGTAGGAATAACCTAAGACGCAAACCAAATGAAACTGTGCACACAGATTCCAACTGATAAGCATATTATATTACATATACTTAAAATATATTATATTATATAATATATATTATATTATATTATATTATATTATATTATATTATATTATATTATATTATATTATATTATATTATATTATATTATATTATATTATATTATATTATATATTACATTATATATACTTAAAAGTATATATATATATAAGGGTTGAGTTAGATCATGGGCTTTGCCTGAAAATAATTATTAGCAGGAGGCTGTTAAAGTTTTTTCTAGCAAAACAAATAAACAACTTGTCTCTTACGATTCTAGAGAGATTGTGTATGGTAGTTTTGATAAATAATAAGTTGGTCAACATGTCTTCGCCAGAAAATGACGAGAAAGCTGTCAGACGGACTAGTGTCTCCAACTTGGCCAATTCTTTCGAAGAGGCGTTAACAGGAAGCAATGAAAATAAACCAATTAAACGTCGTTTTATAGAAAAAGACAGAAAAAGTTCAATAGTAACCACAACAGACACTGAAATCATTTTAGAGGTAAAGCTTTTAATTTGTTTGCTAATTTGGATCTTTTTAATCAACTACAATATATATATGCCCATCATGCATGGATCTTACCAGCTAGAATACAAACCATTAATTGACAAAATAGGTTTTATTGTGAAAACATTTCTATCATGTCGTGATGTCGAGACATCTTATTTATACGAGCATTGAAGCTTGCAGTCAAGAATGTTCTTGCAGGTCAAACTCATTCTTTGACCTGAAGAAAGGGTGTGTATATGTGCGTGTGTATAAATTAATCTGAAAACGGGAACTGGCCCAAGAAAACTATTTTTATGGTAACCACATTTAATCACTCGTAAACCCTTGTAAAATACGTGATCGCGCTAAAACATCAGTTCCTTAAACTACAGTTTATTAAATAAGAAAAACGAGCGAGAACGTGTTGTAAAAGAGCTGAATCTTAACGGTCATCCTTTACGCTTCAGCCCGCATTCAGCCCGCAAATCGCAGGCTTCAACATTGAACTATATATTTCATATGTAATGCTAACACGTACATAACTTCAATAAGATCCGGGACGGGTTCCTGTGGTATTCACGCCATTGTTCATTTCCAGTCATTCCAATGTAAATTAATCCAGCTCTATAATTCGTATATAAGATATCTATGCCTTCAATCAGCAATGAAATGAGATCGTCAACTAAACAACCAAACAGACTCGAAGCTCCAAGTTGAGAAAGCTCCATTAAAGTTGAAGACATAAGAGCAACACCTGAAAAAATGTGTGCGACATCTGAAAATGTCTTGCTCAATCTTGCCTACTACTATATAAAGTTGGCCTAAAAAATTACCTGTCCAGTTTCATATTTTAGGCCTTTTTAGTTGCAGGAGGAAGTAATTTGTGCGACATTTGAGAAGCAAGTTGGCAGAACCCAAGATTTTAAATTCTATTATGGAAGAAACAGTCGTGGTGTAAGTTCAATGTTCAACGCATCAGCAAATCAAGCACGCACATTTTCACAACATGGATAAGGCATGAATTAACGAGTGGGTTTCTCAAAGATCATCAAGAGTCCAAAGGACGAGTGTGTTTTGAAGTCTTTGAAAAACTCACACGTGCTTGTTTTACCCAAATTGTATCAGAAACCGTCCTATTACTTATTAATAATACACAAAGAAATGTTCAAGACAATTTACGAGCTTGGTCAATGTAATTAGCAAGGCCTAGGATTACAATACTTGCGGGGATCCTTTATAGCTCTCCAGTGCAGGTATCGCAGTTCAAATTGTTAATTAAAAGCACAAGGATTGCACAGTACTGTATCTGCAAAGTCACACACGTGCCTAAACAATGTATATTTCGAAATGCCTTTTCTCTTCACAGATTACAGGTTTGTTCATTCGAAATGTTCAGCCACAGAGTCCTCTTGCTGGTATAATAGAATCACAAGATCAACTAATAAAGGTATGTTGTAGTTGCTGAGTAAACCGCTACATTGTTCGGAGGTGTTTTCAGGGCCGCATTAACGTTTTGCGGGGCCCATGCAAGGAATATTATCAGCGCGGGGTCGCTTACGTACTGATTAGAAATCTTCTAAAACAACCTACTTCTCACGTTAGCAATGAGCAACTACAAAATCAGGCTGAAAGGCAGTATAGACCAAACAAAGCAAAGTGGGATAAATAGTATTATCATAGACGAGGGAAGTCCAACAAAAGTATTAGTCACAGGGCTCAGCCAAGAATGATAAATAGTCTCGTTCCTGAAATATGGCAAAATTTTCACACTGTTACTTTGAGGAAGCGTCCTCCAAATTGGGAAAATTATTTGAAATTGGTTCGCCAGATTAGATAACAATCTCATGAGGAAACCTGCCATTTCTCCCCAGGTAATAGTAAAGTACAATCTAACATACCTGCTCGACCTTTATTGGTAACTGGAAAGTGTCACAACTGATCCCATCTACCCTCCTTTTTCCGCACGACCACTAATGGAAATCCCGATCCATCCTTCCAGAAAATAACTGATGATTCAAAGTTGATAAACTACCTACGGTAATAGTATACCCGTCAGAGTCACCCCCAATTTTAAGTTTAAAACGATCTTATCTACCAGTCTGGCCACCAGAGGACTGTCTTCAGATTAAATCGAATTGTATTCAGATTAAAACTAACAATGAAATCTTAGAGAAATTCAGCCTTCTGACATTTATGTTAACAAACGCATGCCACATAATTAACCAACAAAATCGATGAATTCAGTACACAGAGTTGTCACAAATAATAATCCTGAAGTGGTATTGATTACAGAATCCTGGCTATCTTTAATAAAGCATTCCTGATTCGGCAATATCGATGGGTAACGAATATATTATATTCCGACGGGATAGATCTACACCGGGTGGTGGAGTACTTGCTTACGTGCACCAAAGCATACCTGTCCGCCGCTTGACAACTGCAGAAGAAGATGATAAAGAGGTATTATGGCTATTGTTTAGACCACCTGGAACTCCGCACCCGTTCAGTTCAATCACAGTTGCTATTGTATACTATCCTCCTGGCCAAAGTGCCGACTGTGGAACTGACATGAATGAATACCTTACCAGAAATTTAGATAGACTACTCTGTGACCGTCCATCGTCCGCAATTGCAATTGCCGGAGATTTTAACAAACTAAACCTCACCCATTTATGTAACCGTTTCAACCTTAATTAGAAATCTAGGAAATAACACCTTAAGAAATAACACCTTGGACCAAGTCCTGACGAATATGCGAGACATGTACAATCCGCCGCTCCATCTGCCACCAGTTGGGCATTTTGATCACCAATGCCTTCTCTTGTACCAAAACAGAAAAAGAAACTACCAGTCTATCCCAGACAAGTAAGACTTTTTACGCCTGGAAACTTAGCTGTTCTAAGTAGAAAAGTTATACTTGGACTGGTCTGATGTATACGCTGCAGAAGAGATAGTTTTTACTTCAACTATGTTCACAATTATGAACGAAACTATTCCAGAAAGAACAGTCAGAATGCACCCCTCGGATAAACCCTGGATAACAAGCTTCTTCAAAACAAAGATTAATAATATAGCTATAAGACAGCGTGCCTTCTCTCGTAATGATCAAAAGCAAAAAATCAAAAGCAAAAGATCTTCGCACGACAAATTCAGCTAAATGGTTTAAGTCCATCTTCTCACTGCTAGGAATTAACAACGGAAATAACCCATTGGGGAAAACGTCAGATGACAATATACTAGAACTGGCTTTTATTAAACCCTGGGAAAATCTACCACCCAATAACGAATTAGATATTAACCTGATGGATCAATTACTCAGGAACACCAGTGGCGTAGCCAGCCCGACAATATAGTTCCGCTGTGCAAATTCAAAATTATTATCATTATTCATTTCTTTAGAAATTGATTGTTTTCACAGTCAATGAACACGAAAACATCTGCATAGCGGGACTAAATCGTCGGGCTGGCTACGCTACTGAGGAACACTACACCTCCAGGAAAGCGACCGGGGTAGACAAAATTCCTGCCTGGATACTCAAGCGTTTTAGTGATTGTCTCGCTCCAGTCGTCCACAATATTGTTACAGCCAGTATGCAAGACAATGCAAGCACCCAAGCCAATACAAATATGCGCTGATATCCCCAGTTGCCAAAGTCCGCAACCCAAGCGATGTTGAAAATGACTTTAGACAAATATCCGTCCTCCCACAACTACAGGCTACGAATAGAAATATATAATATCAACTAGCAAACGTTTCAACAATTTAAGGGAACCAACTTGTATATTGGTTGCATCAGACTTTTGTCCCCAATTTGTACTTCAGCTACAGTACCTGTTGTGTCCATCCTTGCTTGGAAAAGTATTAAGGATTCTCCCCAACGGCCACTGCCCTCGAGGAAGATTTGGCTGCACAATTAACACAACGTCATCGGTTTGCAAATCCTTGACCACTTGTGTCCATTTAGGACGGATAGCAAGCATCGGTAAATACTCCTTCAACCAGCGTCGTCATACCAACGATGTTAGATGTTGCACTTTCCTCCACCGTTGCTGTGGATGAAATCCAGTCGTTTCTTCAGCTTCAGGGGCAAACTGACCACCCATCTGGCCATAAAGGAAATGACTTGGTGTCAGCGGGATTAAGTCACGAACATTGGCAGACTGATACGTTAGCGGTCTGGAATTTAAAAGACTCTCAGCTCCGGTAAAGATGGTGATCAATTCCTCATCGTTGACATCACTTTTGCTTAATACTGCGTATATCGCTTTCTTTGCAGCCTTTACCATTATTTCATGAGCTCCTCCGAAGTGTGGAGCGGCTGGCGGGTTGAACAACCATCGAACTTTTTTATCCGAAGTTTTCCGTTTGATTTTCTCTTCGTCTAACTGATCAGCAAGCTCCTTCAGTTCGTTTACCGCACCAACGAAGTTAGTACCACTGTCACTTACAACCTCCTTGGGTACTCCTCTCTTGCTGGTAAATCGAGCGAATGCATTAAGGAATGCATCTGTGTCCAATGACCATGCCATCTCCAGGTGTACAGTTCTGACTGATAGACATGTGAACACGCATAGATACCGTTTCTGTCTCTTTCGACCACGACCCTGAATGGTGATAAACGGACCACCAAAATCTACTGCACATTGATCAAACGCCCGATAGGTGAATCGCAATCTCACACCTGGCTGGCTTGTTCCGTCTCCTGCAACCGTAGCACTGGTTCTCCCAATCTCGAATTTCCTCACGTGTCGCAACGATCCAATATCTTTCACTCAGTTGACAGAGAATGAAATTTACCCCAGCTGCATGGTTCGCTTTCTCGTAGTAATGTTTTACGATAAATCTTGTAATCCAATGTCCCCGTGGCAGGATAACTGGACATCGCACGTCATACGGTAGTTGCTCTGCGAAACTGAGGCGCCCTTGTGATCGAATAACTTCATCTGCATCAATTATGGGATTCAATTTAACAAGCTGACTCTTCCCAGAAACAGGTCTTTTTTTCTTGATTTCACTGTACTCGGCACCAAATGCTTCACTATGAGCAGCACGAATGACTTCCATTTCAGCTTCCCTGAATTCTTCTGAAGTCAGTTCCTTTTCAGTTCGTCTTTGGCCCTCATGACGCATGTTGAACAACGCACTTTGAACTCTGGCTTGTAACCTTGTCAACCGCGACCAATGGGAAAAGCGTTTCGGATCCAATCTCCATTCGTTCTGCTCCTGTTCATACTCCGACTTCTTTTCTGCACATGTTGCTAATGTGATGTTGCTGACGCTTTTAGTATGAGTCGATCTGATCTCTGGTGGGTTCTCGGGGCGGTTTCCTGTCTTCATCTTTGGCCACTGGTCACGACCTTTCGTCAGCCAATCTGGGCCTTCCCACCAAAACGAACTTTCAGCAAGCTGCGTTGGACTTGCGCCTCTCGTACAGAAGTCGGCTGGATTCTGATCTGTACGTACATACTGCCACTGGGCTGGATCCGAACCACTCTGAATTTCACCAATCCTGTTTGCCACAAAGGCTCGGAAATCTTTGCCTCTTCCACGAGTCCACCACAGTACATGCATGCTATCTGAATAAAACGACACGTCTCGTATTGGAATGCCCAAGACTTGGACGATTCATTGAGTTAATTAACCGCAACCCATGATAGCTGCCTTCAGCTCCAATCTCGGAACCGTTGTTGGGGTAAGAGGTGCCACCTTAGACTTTGACGCTACCAGGCGACAGGTAACTGCTCCATTCTCGTACTCATGTCGGATATACACCAGAGCACCATACGCATCTTTTCAGGCGTCTACGAACGTAATAATTTCCTTTGAACGAACTGTCTCTGCAGCACGGAAACATCTAGGTACTGTCACCGTGTTCAGCATAGGCAACTGACGAAACCACTGTTCCAATCTCAAAGCAATTTCATCTTTAATCTCGTCATCCCATCCAGAACCTCTAGCCACAGTTCCTGCAGTAATATCTTGGCAATGACGATAAATGGACTAATGAATCCAAGTGGATCAAATATCGTTGCGATCTTCTTCAAGACATTTCTCCTGGTTATTTGTAATCGTGGCATTTTTTATGTCAGAATCGTGAATTCATCTTTCTGACTGTTCCAAGCAAGTCCGAGTGTTTTCGTTGTAGGGTTTTCACCGTCGTTTATGGTGATCTCGGAGGCTCGATCTTCTTCTGGGATCACTTTTAATACTTTAGGCGAGTTGGATACCCACTTTCTGGCTTCCATACTTGCTTTTGCCCAAAGTTCTTTGAGCTCGCGATACAACTTTACACCCTCTTCTTCACTTTCTACACTGTCAATAGAGTCATCCATATACGTGGATTTCAATACTGTCTCTGCGGCTAATGAGTAAAGATCCCAATACTTGCGAGCGTTCTCCTGGGCGACAAACTGTGCTTCCATGGGAGCGGAATTCTTACCAAAAACAACTCTGCTGAACTCGTATTCCTAAGGTTCACATCCAGGATCAAGATCTCTCCAGAGCATTCTGAAGTATGGGCGGTCTTCCTTTGGAATTTATATCTGAAGGTACATTTCTTTAATGTCACAGGCAACAGCCACAGGGTTACGACGGAATCTCATCAGATACAGATACAGATACAAAAAAAAAAAAAAAAAAAATAATTAATAAAATGGGTCCTAAATCACTTACTGATTTATTTACTTTCAAAAGTGAAATGACAAATTATAAACTTCGAGATGTGGAAAGTACTCTTTGCTTACCACAGCCGCGTACAAATAGCTTGAAAAAAAGTTTCATGTTTGACGGGGCACACATTTGGAATTCTTTACCAACCGAAATTAGAGAGAGCAACTCCATCATGTCCTTTGAAACTAAAATCGCTACTCACATTTTTGAATACTCACATTTTTGAATAGCATTATTATTCTTATACTTATATAATTATGTATATATATATTTCTTACTGTATGTAATATCTTACTATATACTATATCTTTGTAATTTTATTATTGTACACGCCCCTTGTGGAAATCAGCCTAGGTTGACAATGGTTAGCGTGTTTAAATAAAAGTTTCTATCTATCTATCTAGATATTTCACAGCACACTCCCTATCAGGGCTTGTCAGTGACTGGTTACATTGTGAATAGATAGATAGAACCGGACTGACGTGAACATAGACGGATTTTGTGGGGGGTGCAGGGGGGTGCTACCCGCCCAATATTAGCTATAACCCCCCCAAACAAAATGTCCACCCCTCCAAAAAATTTTCAACCCCCCCCCCAATATTCGGCATAATAAAAAATAATTAAATAGTCCACTCCAACATGCAGAGTGTTGATGATACAAAATAAACGTAGGAGTACACTCAAATAGAAAAAGACTCTGAAACTAATTGCTCCTCGCTTGCATTCACTGGTTTATTGGACCAATTGTAAAGTTTTGAAACTCTACTATCTCCCCCTGAATAGAGTTTGCAGTGCCTTGTCATGCAAATAGCTTGCTTACAAGAAACGTTTGGAAATTTTACGAACATTATTTTTAGTTTTTAATTCTTTTAGGAAATAGTCTTGCCTAGATTTAATCTTTACGTCCCAAATATTATTTACATCGGAGTTACATCATAAATTGTACTCGGATTCAAACGACACAATGTCAATGATTTTATAAAAGTAAAAGCATATTGTGTATTGGCCTATTGGGTTTACACTTTTACAGGTTCATTTAACTTTAACTCTCTCAAGTCTCAACAGACAATTGGACAGGCCAAATCCATTGATATGACAACTTCAAAAGCGTTTTTTCGAAGCTAGAGATCATGATTTTTTTCAAATTTTTCCAGGGATACTTTGTTTTCTGCTCTCTAGACTCCCACTCGCGGCTCTAGTGCTCCACCCCTAGAATATAGACCTTACTGGGGGTTTGGTGACACTTTGTGTTGCTTCAGTCACCTGCTCGCGGCTCACCCCCCTAAAATTTCTGGCACCACCCCAGTAAAAAATATGAAAATCCGTCTATGGACGTGAAGCAGACTGAGGAGGTAGACTTTGATCAGGACATTGAACAGATCTTGCTGCAGTTTTGGGCCAGCATGGATAACACCATTCAGAGAAACCCATCATGTTTAGCCGAGCAATCAAAACCTATGCGAACTTTGGTTGTAGATTTATCCATCCTGTATTAAACGATGGGGAAATGAGGCAGGTACCAAGCTCCAGGCAGTTCTTTGGCTGGATCAATCTTTCGAAGGTAGCCTTTCTTCAAGTATGTTTCGATAGTGCTTTGGTACTCTTCATCAACGGTCGGATTCTTCATTAGGTTTTCCTCAGTAGAATGCAGGCGTGTGATAGCCATAGTTCGGTAAAATTGTTTGGTAACTGTGGTTGTGCTTTCTTCCACGGTGTTCCGACTTAATATCTTCCATCAATAATCTGCAACGATTCTCCAACTTTACTAAGGGCTGACTTTTCCTCTTGTGTTAGTTTCTTTGTATTCACCTCGGTTCTTCCACGTTCAATCTCCCAAAAATTTCTTAATGTTTCGTCCAGGTTACAGCAGTCGGGATTGGCGAAGGTTGTTGCCTGCTTCGTGCAGAGTGTTCTCATCACATGCGATCTCACTATTGATTTTCCATTCTTCTCTGGGGTCCTATACAGGTCCATCCGAGTGGTCCACGTCGCGCCTCTGGTTCTCCTTGATATCTTTGAAAATCAACTACGGAAACGTGTAACTCTGGATTATCCAGTCCAATCAACAGGTCAACGAATGCCTTTTTCGCTAGCGTTGGGAAGTTGCACGGACGTATGTGTGGCCAATCCTTCTGGTATTGGTTCAAATCTACTACACGGTAGTTCCCAGTAACTTTATGTGGGAAAGTTATAACATTAATTTCTTTCGAAAACTGACGATCTGTACTCTCAATCTCGACTTGCAAAAGTATGGATTTAAAAGTCTCCACTGCATCATTCAACACATGGACTTGCACATCTTGCCATTTACCGCTTAGTCCAAGAAATCCAGCGACTTCTTCGTTTAGGAAGGTTTCGTTCGAAGCATCATGAATTAATTTACCTTAATTCTCTTTCCATTTACTTTTATCCACACAGGGATTGTTCTCAGAGAATGTATCTGTACTTTATATAGTTAGATTCACTGGTTGTCGTGGTAACCAGTCTCGCTTGTTCCGTTACCCCCTCCCGTGGGAATTTTAACTCGACCTTCTCCAGCTCTGGAAGATTTGGTTTGTTGTTTTTGTGTTCCGGGTCATGAAGCAATCGATGATGTGTAACTTGACACCCACCTACGTTGCACTGACGTGACCTTCGACAGTCTTTACCATGGTGGTCAGTGGCAAGGCACCGAAAACATAACTGTTTCTCTTTAGCAGTTTTCCAGCAATCTAAGACTGGTCTTTGTTGAAACTGGTGGCAACTCCAGATACCATGCCCAGTACGACCACAAAATGCACAAAGCGGCTTCGTGTCCGCTGCGTTTCCCGACATGTTAGGTTGGTATGACTCATAGCTTCCCTGCTTTCCAGTACGGTATGACCGAAATCTTGACTTTTCGCCCTTGTTCTGATATCCCTTCAAATCAGCAGATTTCTGCTCCAGGCCATACGCCATTTCTGCAGCTTCCACTTTAATAGTCACCTCTTCCTTCAACCAATCACACAAACCTATAACAGACTGTTCCTTGCTGTGAGTGCTTAGCCATCGACTATAACTTTATTCCAACTGTCCATCCGATAATTTCTTCACAAGTTGTCGATGCAAAGTTCCTTCTTCTAGCTCTGATTCTCGATTCTCAGCTTTCAGTTTCGCAACTGTTACCCTAACTAGGTCAGCAAACTTTTCAAAGGCATTGGCATCATTATTACGCATAGTAGGCATATTCGTCACTGCCCACCAAATTTCGACCGAATTCTTTCTTTCGCTTCATCATACTCGGGTGCTGATACTCCTAAACCACGAATCGCTTCCAAAGCTCGACCAGACAAATTATGTCGCAATCTTGCCATCTTTAGATGCACCGGCTCGTTCGATTTGTCAACTAAACTTTCAACTAGGCTCCAAAATTCTTCAAAGTTTGCTTTATTTCCATCGTAATCAGGTACTCTCAGTGGCTTTAAATGGCGGTTTAAAACTGAACCTCCCGTGTACAATGGTGTATGGGTTGGACTTGATGAACTCAATTGATTTTGCTCCACTGTTTGCTGTATCATACTAGTTCCTATTGCACCTTGATCGATTATTCCTTGCACTGCTTGTTGCTCGTTGTTACCAGTCACAGCGGGTTGTATCTGTCCTTCGTTAATCAAATTACTCATAGTAGAATTGGTACCATTAGTTACCTCGTTATTATCATTGCCTTGATTGACTGTAGCATTGCTTCCAAAACATTGCCTTTTCGATCGCTTGTTGACATTCCAGTTCTAGTTCGTTTGATTCCTTCATTAACGCCTTTTGATTTTCACCGTCCTTTTGCCTGGAATAACAAACAGACAATTCATCCATAATTTTCTGTGTCTCTTCTAGTGACGACCTCAAATGCTCCACTCTATGCTCAATCTCTTCTTTGTCTAATGTAGCTTTTGACACACTAAATGCTTTTTCAAGTTGATGTCTTATTTTTGTCGTATTCCGTTTACTTGCACGTTTGCGACGACCTAATTCCAGGGAAATAAGGCTTTTCATACCCTCATCAACAGTGGATTCCTCCACATTGCTTTGAATTGGCTCTGACTCATCCCCTGACATTATTGATAGTCTAAAGCTATTGTGATAACAAATAACCAGATTATTTTATTTTCAACAATATATGTAGAATGTTACGTTATTCCTCTAAAGTATGTCTTTCCAAAATTTCTGTTTACCAATGTTATTAAGAAAGGGTAAACAGTTTCAAGCTCCTGGGTTTATCATGCCAAAATGATCTTAAATGGAATGAACATGTAGACCAAATTACAAGTAAGGCAAACAAGAAATTATACCAACATAGACAGTGCAGGAAATCCCAATTAACAACAGAGGTTGGGCTGACAACTTACATATCCAAAATTAGACCGGTATTAGAGTACGCATCGCCTGTTTGGGCATGCAGGAATTCCAGAATATTTACAACAAGAAATTGAACGTGTACAGACAAGGAGCCTGAAAATTCTTGATCTGGACAGAGACTGCCTCACTAGTGGCTGTCTTCTTTAAGAAGCAGGTGTGAACTAGCAACCATCTGAGAGATCAGAAGAATTCAAGCGGAACCAACCCACCCTTGCCATACCTTACTGCCCATATGAACTTAGACACCCATATGAACTTAGACAAAATCATTCTTGCACAGTTTTGTCTAGAACCGAGAGACATATTTTAAGCGGTATCCCACAGGGATCAGTGTTGGGTCCTTTATTCTTTATTTTATACATAAATTATATTCAATACTGCAGTGAACTGATTTCCATTATATTCTATTTGCTGATGATACAAACCATTCTTTATAGTCATACTTGTCTTAAAAAGTTGAATGAAATTATTCAAAATGAAATGAATGAAATTACAGATTGGTTGGATGCCAATAAGCTATCTATATAAACACTGATTGAAAATTTATTCTTTTTAAATGGTTCAATAAACATTTCAATCAATAATAACAATATAAGACAAGTCAAAAAATCACATTTCTAGGAATTGTTCTTGACCAATTTCTGACATGGAGTAATCACTTGGATTTGATTACGAAAACAATTATCAAATGTGCGGCAATTATTTCCAGGATTCGACACTTCACAAACCTAAATTCCTTAAAGCTAATATATTATGCTTTGCATGGTCTATCCATATCTAACTTATGGTAATTCACTCTGGGGTAACACCTATAAATCAGATTTTCAAAAGTTAGTGAATATTCAAAAAAAAGATTGCCAGATTAATGACTTTCAAATCTTATTTCTGTCATTCAGAACCAATTTTTAATGACTTACAAATGCTCAATTTATATAAAACAAGACGCTCTCTCGAGCGTTAAGTTGCTGGGGCTTTTTAAATAGGCGCCTGCGTGATTTGCAACGAGCGGTAAGAGTATATTCAACGATTTGTGGGTTTGATTTGTAATTGTACATAAGTTTATTATATAAATAGTAACATGTTGCGACATAATGTATACAGCAAATTTAATTAACTAAGGGACCGACCATTAGAAAAGTGATGCGGGGGGGGGGGGGGGAT